GGCATTGTGAGACCCGCCACCGAAAGTCCGCGGAGTTGACGAAATTCCTTCGCGGCTGGTTTTCCGTCAGGTTTTCCAGAAAAACCTGGCTGGCGCCCAATCGTGAACGATAGAGGCGGCAGCCAGAATAGTTTGAGGATTCTCCCGGGGTGTTGACCCGGGAAAAATACTCTTACACAGTTAATCCTGGAAAGACGTCTGCCGTGATCTTCACCAGAAAATATAAAGTGGTCACTCCACGACCAATTAAAATTGGAGAAGTGGATATCGCTTACGCTAGTTCAGTGAAGTACCTGGGAGTAACTCTGGAGACCAAGCTTCACTGGAAACAACACATAGCTACACAGATGGGCAAAACATATGCCTCACTCTGGGCTTGCAAAAGAGCCATAGAAAGGACGTAGGGTTTCAACCCCAAAATCAGCCTATGGCTGTACAAGATGGTATTACTGCCAAGGCTCATGTACGCTGCTGTGATATGGTGGCCCAGGGTAAGGAAGGTTGGGAGTAAGAACCACTTAAAAGCACTCCCGAGAAATTTCCTCAGGGCGGCAACTGGGGCGATGAAAACCACACCGACAGAAGCCTTGGAAGTGGCAATGGACACACCACCACTTGATCTAGAGGTGCTGCACATAGGCAACCGCCTATATACTAATATGCCATGGGGAATGGAACCAGTCGAGTGCGGCACATGCCAACCTCGATATACTGAAGATTAGCCCCCTGAACATAGATCAGGATAGAACAACCAGCAGGTACCTGATCAGGAAATACTTCAAGACCTATATACCTCACAGAGAGGACTGGGAAATGGCAAAGCAATCCCCAGTTAGCAATGTAATACACTGGTACACGCATGGCTTGGGCCGCGGACACCAATACGGTGCAGGGCTATACGGGCCAAAAGAAAACCACAGAGAGAGCTGGTCCATTGGACCCCTGGCTACTATTTTTCAGGCAGAAATCCTTACAATTAAAAACTGCATCGTGCTTCTCCTATCAAAACCGACCTCAAGAAAACATATACACGTCTGGTCGGACAGCAAAGCTGCCATCGAAGCCCTAAAGAGACCAAGCACCGAATCGAAGCTGGTCTGGGAGACGATGGCAGCTATAGAAGCACTAGGGGCAACCAATAAAATAACTTTGGCATGGGTTCCGGGCCACAAAGGGATAAAAGGAAATGAGATAGCGTACCAACTGGCAAGCCATGGGGCGTCAAATGTTGACCAGGTCCCTTTCGCGACCGGAATGTCTCGAATTAAAAACAAACTCCGGAAGGAACACCAAGGGCGATGGAAGCAGATCACACCCTGCAGAAAATCCAAAGCCCTTATGCCAACCCTAAACAAGAAAAGGGCCGAAAAGCTACTCAACAGGAAAAGAGAGGAACTGAGCACCACAATCAGGCGCCTCACTGGACATGGTAGGTTTAGGACCCACTGCAAAAACATGGGCATCGAAAGCGATGCCCGCTGCAGACTATGCCTTGAGGTAGACGAGGACAGCCGGCATATACTTTGTTGCTGCCCTGCACGGGCTACAACAAGGCTAAATTGCTGGGGAACCGCTTTCCCTACCATCAGCTATATAGCGGACCTAGACGCCGCGAATCTATTGGTGAGAAAAGCTGGCCTAGAATTGTAGGGAGCAGAAGGAAAACAGAGCCACCATAGCCCAGTAGGGGTTCGGTGACAAGGGGGCAGCAAATGCCTATCCGTATTCTAACCATAACCATAACCATACACTGTACCGAGTACAGCCATCTCTTTTTCTTCTTACGAGTCTCTTGCTCGGCAGTCATTCGAGACAATGAAAAACCCTAAGGATGATACCGGCTGGAATTGAACTCGCTTTAACCACTCGGGCGTTGCCGTCGGTTTTATGTTGATGAATAACTGATTATGACATTTATTCTTATTCAATTCGAAATAATTCATGGGTGACATACGACGTGTGGAGCGGGTGCGTGGAGGGAAGTAATGTAATACCAACGATAAATTTTGATATTAACACAAAAGATGGTTGTTCCTTTTTAATCCAGAGAAGTATTCTAAAGGAATACTATATTTTGAAAGAGCTAAATTTTTTTACGTCTGCTCCTTGTCTCACAGCATGAGAAGACAAGTTTTCTCGAAAGTTTATAAAAGCGGTCCTCCACGAGGGAAACCAGTGAAGACATAAAATAATTGAGGCAATTTGGATTTGATTTCGATCACGAATCGTTAAGTGATGGCGCACTCGTCACCTTAGTTCCACTGAGAATTACATAAAAATTCGCATGAAAATAAAAGGTTGTGACACAGCCTAATGAAACTCATTCGGAAAATTCGCACTCTCACCTGATAGTCCATGTAGTTACCGTAACCCATATGATTACATGTGCAGGCACATGCTTGAATATGTCGACGCATATCGAGCTCTACCTCCTCGCCGCATACGCCCCGTGCAGTCGCCATCATCGTGTCGCCCATGCAATACGTGCCGGTACAGTACATTCGTGGGTCACTTTGTTCGAGATAGCCACCTCCAGTGTCATCGTAACCCAGACGACTCGGGCATCTTGAGTCACTTGTGTAACCGACACGGGATTGCGGCCGCTGATCATCGTATTCCACACGAGATTGCGGGCGGTGTAGTCCAGCTGATGATACATCCTGCTGAAATTCATGAGAGATTCTGTATTTTTATTGGTTGAAATTCAGTCAGTTGAAAAAAAAACGAAAGGCATAATTTGAATTTATGTGGTACGTCTCAGTATTTTATTTCCTAGCACCAATAATTTTCATAGAAGTAGATAGGGTATACCGGTTGTAGTTTTGGGGGGGGGG